AAATTAGAAGAAAAACAACTTTTATTTAATGCATTTTTGTGCCTAGAACTTCTGTATAAAAAGTTAAATAAACTTTTTGAATTGACTGCATAGTCAATACATCTTTAACGTACATCGGACGTCGTTTCACGCGAACGAGCTCAATTCATTTCATGGATTCAAGCAATATTCCTAGATTTTGATCGATCGATGCAAAGCTTCGGAACTTTTAATGATTATTATCAGTCTTGGAATACCGTAATCGGCGTGTTTCTTTAAAATTCCCTTCTTCTCGGGTAACTTTGCTAGATTGTTCGGCTGAACGTCGATGAAGGAAACGACCTCCTCCACTCCCGTACCGCCGTCCTCCTCGCTGAGCCTCTTCAACTGCGGTTTATGATCCCTGAAAATGTCGTTGCAAAAACGAAAACGATTTCATGAAACAGTCGTAAGGTGGTTTCAGACGAAACGTTCATACGCGAGTACACCCTCCTTCGTAAGTCGTGTTCAATTGCATCAACCACTTCGACGAGGATATTCTCAATAAAACAAATGACTCGTTTCTCATTTGGAATTTTGATACAAATCGCACTGTTTTTCGTCTGATCGAAACTCTCATCGATCGTACTATACAATTAATTACAATTGCGATTCCGATTGTATGGTTTTGCGTAAATCGTGAGAATTCTGAAGGGGGGTACGTCTATTTTCTTTGAACGTCAAGTCTCGAACGGTGTGTCGTGCTGAAACTCGTTTCGTGGAAAAAAAAAGGGTCTCTGTTGAAACCCCGGGTGCAGTCACGTTCGTGTTCGTGCCTCACTTTTAATCAAGCTACCAATTAAAACGTGACACGAATATAAACGCGCTGCGCCGCTCCTTCCTTTCCTTCCCTCTTCCTTTGGCTCCGGTTATAATCTCGACGATACTTTTTATATTCGTAAACTAATTACAACCCGAGCATACGTGACGGTATTCCCTTTCTTAATTAACCCTCGGACTGTAAACGTTTTCACCCTCGAACTCCAAATCTTTTGGCATACACTTTTTTAATAAGTGTCGTACAAATGAAATCGTCGTCTCTCCTATGTTCAATTTGCCGTTGCATCCAACTAGTAGTTTCAATAGATAGATCAGAACGGTATCAATAGTGATTCTCATAGGCGAGTCGTTGAAAAATCTCGTTCGTAGTTCGAGGGTCGAGGGTGCAAGGGTTCTCTATGCGTGGGCTGAAAGCATGCTCGGTGCAGATCTCGCAGTGGAAATCGACGAGTGCATACTTTGTGCGGGTCTCGCTGGTAAAAGAAAGATTCATGCAGGTGCCGATAGTGAAAAGACGTGGGCGTGTATAATATAATAGGCATGCATCTTGCTTCGATCTCTACTTGGAGCGTAAGAGATTTGTACATGTATGGTGGGGGAGGTACGATGATTCCGTGTAGGCGTCGATAACGGAAAAATGAACATGAATCGCGCGTGATTCTTTCCCAAGGACAATTGGCAATAAGTATTCTCGTCTCCTGGCAAGAAATTGTTGATTGACACGGCAACAGGATTGGAACAGTATCGATAAGAAGCGTTTGATAAATGTACGTTCGCGCGTAGCCTTCGGTCATTGTTAATAATTATTTTCCGAGGGGTTCCTTTAATCTCGCGTCCGCGTGGTCGAGCGTAGCACGTGAGCGCGATGCAAACTCGCATGCTCGGGAGTTATCTCGCCACGCGATCATAGCGTTTCTCCTTCTCTTTGCCTGTTATCGTCGCAAGAATGAAACTTATCGATTCGCAGGAGTGTACACCCCCGCTGGCAAATCTTAGGACATGTCGTCGAACGTGATGTACAAATGAGTTGAAATAGTTTCATGAACGATCGACGGACGAAAGTACGAAATGATCGAGAGATGTCCTGAGACTCGACGAGGGTGTGACTGGCCGTGTGTACGAGTCGAAGATCATCGGAAAATCTATAATGTTGTGTGAGGTAACGGCGAGACACATGAGACTTACTTGACTCTTGGCCCGTCCGCGGTGGCGACGTTATTCGGGGCTCGAAACACCACGCGCTGGGCCTCGCCGCGGCTAGAAATATACTAATATAGGCATGCCGCGGGTATTTTACCACGAGTTTAACCCCTTGTGGTCCTCCGATCTGAGACTAGCCAGAGGAACTGTCTGATTAATTTCTGTTCCGACGAGATCACGTTCGAGACTGATAGGTTTTGAAACAGTCTCGAACGTGTCGGACTCGGACGATCGTTTGAACAAAACCGGAGCGCGGCCAGAAACGACCACAAAGGGTTAAAGGTGTGTAGGAAACTCTCATCGACGACGAGGCGCCTCTTTGATGCGCGGAACGGAAGTAGAGAAATGAGTCGATAAGAAATCTCGCTTTTGAAGAGAGGGTGTGTTGCGTAGCGACGTATATTCCGACTTATTTCTATGCTAAGGCGAAAATCTCCGCGCAAACTTTGTCCGAGGACTTTTCCCGATATCGATATCGCGCGATATTAAAGGAATTCCTTGTCGTCGCTTTGAGAACCGAGAATTCCTCCTCGAGAAAGATTACGGCATATCGAGACGCGAGTATCGAACCGCGGGCGCACTACATACGTATATTCCTGTTCACGAGTCTCACGATTTTCCTCGCGTCGCGAGCTCTTCAAATATGCTTCGCACGCGAACTATAATTCGTTAGAATCGATTTATTCAAGACAATCGTGGTGGATCTATTGCTAAAATTCAGTCGTCTATCTGCGAAGGAACCTCGCTCGTGAACAGGGGATCTCTCCTCTTTCTCAACGAAGCGATGGGAGAATGATTGTAGATGGAATGGCACGTGTGATCATGAGATATCGTGTGATTCGCAAACATTAATGCCAAGAACCAATACGTAATAAGTAGAAGCGAGAACGTGTCTTTGGCGATCGTTGATGGATCCTTTTTCAAACGCTAATTGCAGGGGTCGTTCCCTATACATGTATAGTCTGTATTCTGATAAGCGTTGTTCCAACAGGTGAATCGTTCTATGACTCGAGGATCATCGGAACCTCGTCTCTCGTTTACCCATCGAAGCAGTAAGCAAGTATTTCTCGAGCGCACTTTTGGGACCGAGAGACAGGTTTTGTCGCACGACGAAAGCTTGTGGCTAACGCGAGACCGAATCTAAGACCTAAACGCGGCAGGGAGCGTGGCGACCAGACCGCGGAGTCGACGGAGAGGGTGCAGAATGCATCCGTACGAAGGTGACTTTCTGTTTAAATTCTCGTTGCAAGCGAATCCGCGGTCTGGCGGTAAGATCGTTCGGACTCTATGATCAGAAGCGTTGGTAAATGATCGTCGTACCTGCAATTAGGCATGGGTCTGAAGTTGAGGATCTTCGTGTTAACGTTGTCGAGGACGGCGGCGTGCTCCGGGTGGTGGTTACTGGACACGCCGCTATAACTCCTCTGCGGCGGCTTCTTCACGTACGGCTGCTCGTACTTCTGAATGGTGCTCTTCCTTCTGCGAGAAATAACTCGATTACGAGATATGCGGAGTGCGCGTTCCACGCGGACATCGATAATTAAGCGGCATGCAAGTGCTGCAGGGAGAACGATTTTCCTTCATGTTCCTTTTTCTCTCTCGCGTCGCGTGTTCAGTGACGCTTTTTCGCCGAATCTGATACGATATGTATGACGATTAGACCGCGGATTTTTACGTTGTACAAATATGCATTGGTTCGGTCGTAAAATGTATTTGCGTCCGTGGTCTAACGACGATGTACGATGACGGTGAAACGTTATCGTCAGGATTGAACCGTGGTAGAGTCGACTCCCTTAGAAAGCTTAATCGCATGCTCTAATCGGCTAATCTCGGTTCACAGCTGAACGCATGTCTTTCGATGAATCGTCGACGAATACGTTCAACCTGGATCCTTTTAATTAAACATAATGGTGATTCGAAGCTAGCGAAGCTGGCGCATCTAAGAGGCTTGTACGGGGAGCCCATGCAGTAATAAAAACGGAAACGAATAACCATAATGGTACAGCTGGCCTTAGAACCACACCGCGCGTGGCATCGCCTTCCATTGCTAATATCAATTGCTCAAAATCAACCAAGAAGGAACAGTTGTGATCCTGAGAGAATCGAGAGAGAGTACGCAACCAATGTCATCGATAGTTCCTCCAAATTTTCGCAACAGCTGCTGTTCAGATTCTAGTCGTTCCGTGACTGACCTCAGACTTCGTTCACGGTTCCGTCTGATCTTTAGATCTATCCTCGTGACCAACCGGCAGACGCCGTGACGCAGACGTCGGTCACGGATCGGTAATTAGGAAAGCCATTTTATAATTGCTATACGCGTAGCCAATTAAATATGCGAAAGCGATTAAAGTAATTGTTTGAAGCTGGTCAGCATCGTGGCAACGATCAGGGCGATACACATCGTTTCCCTTTGAACGAGGTAATTGGGACGTGAGATCTGTTCGTTGCGACGGCCAAATAATAAGCAGATACACGTTATTCGTGGCGAGTATTGCAGATTATGCGCAGCGTAGAATCGATACACAGTACACAGAGAGACAGAGTAAAAGTGACTCGATAAAAAAAATAAACGTACGGAAAGTACACGTAAAGTAGTAGTAGTAGTAGTAGTAGTAGTTAGTAGTAGTAGAGTAGTAGTAGTAGTACAGTAGTAGTAGTAGTAGAGTAGTAGTAAGCGAAAAAAGAGAGAGACAGTAATAATAAATACGGATACTAAAAGATATACATGTAAATATATATGTACGACGCGTGTGACTCGTAATCGAATGAGAGAGATAGATAGAGACATACATATATATGTGCATATATATAATATATATACGCATGACAAAAAAATGTCTACGTGTATGTATCTGCACACTAACCTGAGACAGAGGGAGTAGTTTTTATGTACTACGACTGACCTGTAGCAGAGAGCCATCAGAGCAAATACTATGAAAACACCCCCTACCACCGACATGAGCACACCAACTAAAAATACAGTGTTAGAGCCGTGGTAGTTCTCTGTGACGATCAGACGTGTTCGGTTACGTTGCATTTGGTTGGTTTTTATTATTTTTTTTTTTTTTAATTGCAAAATTTACGTAAACGGGTCGTTGGGTGGTGGTCAATAAGATTCGAGTATACCATCGTTTCCGGTAGTTCCGAGCGTCCCACAGCATGCAGACAGACAGAGATGACAGTGACAGACAGAAACAGACAAGAAACAGAGAAGCCAGAATCAGCACATATACATAGACATAGTAGGTTTCGTCGTTTAGTATACACACCATCGTGTGTTTCTTTGATCGATCGCATTCTGATTGCACAGTGGCGAGCATTCGATGGGGAATTATATATACCGAACGAGTCGATACGCGTTTACCATCTAAAACGAGTTCAACGATTCCATTGACGAGAAAATGTTAGATCGTCCGCTGTTCTTATCGATTCGTTTTGTATATCGATGAATTTTGATCGAAATCCTTTTACTGATCTTTCCCTGGACGTGCCCACCACTGGTTTCTCTGAATAGACAGAGCGACGGTGGTCTCGTTCGTCAATTAGCTCGATCGGCGTCGACGAAGACACGATCATGGCCTGATTTATCATGATTCAATTGCCTGGTCGGTCTAATCCCAGAAGTTTACTTCTTTTCTTTTCTTTTCTTTTTTTTTGTCAGGGCGACGTTTCGTTTCGTTTCTTCGCTAATTCAGCCTTATTCATGCTTTTATAGGGCATACAAGCAGCTGGCACATTGGCGTTGTAGTGGATCATGTGTTAGATATCGCACTCCAACATAACGTTACCGATCACTGTATCGCGGTCTGCGTTCTTTTACACTGGGTCACAATTTTTCACGAGGAAGGAGTCGGTCATCGAAAAATTGTGAAACGAAGCAGCAAAACGTGTGCGACGGTTTGTTGGCGTGCGAGACCAAGTGGAGATGTAGATCCCTCCGCTCGTGCAGCATAGTCACTATGCGAGCACGAGCACATACAGAGCACACCATCGAAGAAACAGTAGTATAATTAATATACATATATGAGACGTACGCATGGTCACGTGTATCATAACGAACACCGATATAATATAGATTAAGACGAATCAATATATCATATATGAGAGCAGTTTACGGCCGCGTGCGATGCCTGTTATCAATCCAGCTAGCCACGAAACGATATACACGTATACACTTTGACAACACGACACGACAAAGGTATGCGTAGGTCGAGCCCACTTTTTAAAATCTTTCCTTCGATTTTGCTACTGTACCTGTAGCAAACGGCGCATAGTGCAAAACAAATGAAGACTGCTTTGACCACACCCACCAGTATTAATACCAGTATCCCGGTGCTAAGAGTGTTGTTACGTGTTTCTGAAACGACCATCACATCCTGTAATCTACGGCGTTCGTCGGTTTTAAGTATAATGATAATCGCCGCGGAGATCCCTGAAGACGTTACTCTAAAATCGTCGAGTCAGAATTCTGTGGACGAGTCGCAGAGAAAGGAACGTCCGAACGTCAAAGTGGTTCGTCGATCACTCCAACGAGACACGAGTTATTTTCAATTAATTTATTCCACATTCAATAGACGAAGGAGTATCGTAGATCAGGAAATTAAGATTTAAAAGAGAAAAGGACGTTTCGTATGCACCGGCAACAACCGGATCGCGATTCGTCGTCTTCGATCGATTTCGGTCAGTCCCGAGGCTAACTCTTCTGAACGAAGGCTCGTCGAGCCGACGGAAAAGTGGGGAAGAATAACAAGGGTGTCCGCGATAAGGATCTCCACACTCACGTGGTTTAAAAGCCGTTTGCCGTTTGCGGAACCGTTCACTTGTGACTAGCCAAGATCGTTTCCTTTCTCTCCCTCGAGTGGAAAGTGTAATCGAGTAAGAGTGTAATCGAGTAAGCTTATCAGCCCGAGTTCTATATATCTATATATGTGCACGCAGCTCGGTGTGTACATATATGTATATATACAGGGGAGGCGTCGAATTTTATGTGCACAGCTGATGGTATGGCCCCAAATAATTTGAACTAGTACATAAGGGACGAGTCTTCGTCTTATCGTGAATTGAGGTATCTAGAATCTAGACGATCCAGAAACTCCGAGATCGCGGTATCTCTTCGTTATCGTTTCAAACTTCGTTCGACTCGATTTTATCTCGTCGGTTTTTTGTTTTTCGCGTAGCATATAAATTATTAGTCGTCCACCGGGCCCAGTAATCGACTCGTGTATTCATAGTTACATTCCGAGTTTCTCCGATCCACGCGTTTAGCCGAACAGCTACTAACAGAGATGAGCAGTCTGTGACTATGTAATAACATCGTTTATTTTACTAACAGCCCGGACGTGTCTGGTATTGCTCTTATTCTACGTGTTCGCTGTCGCGATTTTAATTCAGTTTTCGTTCTCGCGAAATTTTAATTAGTCTACATCGTTTTTTATATTCACTTTTACGAATCGCAACTCACCGTAGGGGGTCTCTTTCTTCACCATCTTAGGATTAGTACCATTTTTATCGGCTGCCTCGCTTCTCGGCGTCGTCGGCGGGAGAGTCGGGATGTCCTGCTGAATCGAGCAGTCCGGACCGCTCCAGCCCAGTTCGCAATAGCACTTGTTCATGTTTGTGCATACCTGCAACAATCGCGTTCTCTCTGAACTCCCTTTATCGTCGAGTCACGGAACGATAGCTCTGCTATCCCCGAAATCGTCGAGCGGGGGTAGCATCGAACTCGAAGCGTACTCACGCCGTGCCCCGAGCACTCGTTGTTGTCGCGGTTGCTCGGGCACCTCTCCTTGTCTATCAGCGGAAAGCGATTTATGCAGGTCTGGTTCACGCAAATCTGAAACGAAATCGTCTCGTATGATGATACAGATCGAGACATGAACAGTCTCGTTGCTAGCTCGAACGGGGATACACGCTTACCGAGTTATTTCCGCAGGAGGTTCCGTCGTGAACCAGCCCCATGCCCGGTAGCTCTGAACCCTCCACCTTCCCAGCTGTGGACCTTAACAACAGACGTCTGATTTTTACGTATTCGTGAAACGTTTCAACGATCAATGTGAAGATTCGCTCACTTGCACTCGTATTCCTTTCCCTTTATCGAAATTATGGTTCTCGAGTGGTCTATCCCTTCGACTGCCGGCTGCTTGGCACCCCGTTGACACTGCAGCGATCCGCAATGAACGTTCCTAACGACAGGCGATCATACGCTTTCATTTATTTGTGTATATGTATAGGAAATCGAACGAAACGAAAATGTTGCGACCCGCGTTTTGAGCAACTGAACTGAAGGACTTTCCAAGTTTACTCACTCTCGCTCGCATTTGATGTAGTGGCCGGAGGAGTCAGTCCCGCAGTGCCCGTTCAGGGAACCCTTCGAGTTAAACTGTTCGAAGCACTCCTTGTCCGCGGCGATCCCTCCGTATCCCCATATTTGCTCGCACTGCAAGTCTAACGCCGGGCAAACGCCGTTGAAACAGTAGCCGGCATTGTTCGCGCACGGGCTACCGTTCTTCTTGTAAACGTCCATCGGACACTGGCCCGTCTCCCCGGTGCACACTTCCGGCAGATCGCACTCGTTCGAAGACTCCCGGCACTCCACGCCTCGCGCCACCAACTGTTCTCACAAATCCCATATTCCTTTTCAAATTTCGTGTGCAAATTATCGGCTATCGTTAAAAACTTTATTTGAAATGTACGAGAAGCGGTACACCGTTCGTCTCTCAGCGCTTTGAATTAGTTGATTTTACCTTGCAGTCGCTGCAGCAGGGCCCGGTAGCACATTCAGCCTCCCTAGTCAGCCTGCAGGTGATGGGGTCGCAGCACGGATCCAACTGCTGGCATTCGTCCATCGTACCGCAATCACATTGCTCTCCCTCGTCGATCACCTTGTTTCCGCATTTTTGTCTAAGCTCGACCTGGCGAACAAACGAATCGTGAAAAATGCATCGGTTGACTGACTCACGCTACCGCCCAGATCGCGTAAGATTACTCTTGCGAAATCTCTCGTCAATCCGAACGGTATCGCAGTTTGGTGGCTCGTAAAACAGGTTCGATGCCGAGTCTCTTACTTCGTTCGGTTTATTTAAGAGGCAGTTACCGTTCCCGGTTCTCAACACCTCGATGTAATCGTTTTTACTGCACTCGGAGAACGTGTACGGTTGAACGTTCTCCAATCCGACGATCGATTGGGCCATGATACACCCGTGCCATTCCCGGCAGATACACTCGCTCCCTGGGAACAATAAAATCGCAAGCTACCGAATCGATTACGCTATCGTCAACTTGTCATTAAACCGTGAATTGTTCGATTCGATTCTCTCGTGAACGTATAAAATCCACGGTCTAATCTATTTTTAATCGAGTTCGACACTGACTTCCGTCGTCGTGGCTCATGCCGAGATTGTGCCCGATCATGTGTGCCATCGTCCCGGCTAACAGATGAAGCTCGTAAGGATTCAAATCGACGCTGATCCCTACTGATTTCTGTTTACAGATGGTACCGGGCACGGCCATCCCGGACTCTCCACCCGAGAACGTTTGACCCCTGCGAACGAGAATCGACGTTGAAAAATCTATCCTCGTCGATATAAGTCGGTGAGTAAAATGAACGCTCACGTGAGCAGTTGGGTGGTGTCGTGGGAAATGTGAAACATCTTACGCATCACGTAATCGTTCAGCTTTTGTAAGGCATACTCGATCTCCATGCCCGAGCTGATGTCAGCCTGGTTCATACCCTGCCAGGTTTCGATGTATATGACGGACACTCTAGTGCTTAACGTGCGGAAGTACTAGAGAAAAAATAGACGATTGTACGTGACCATTCTGACGTTCAAAGTTCATACGTACAAGTTTATAAAGTGAATATAATACGAGTACGTAAATACGAAACTATATTAGACGAACGTTACGTGATCGTCGACGTAAGTCGATGCTCACCATATCCGCGATATTGGCGACTTGGATGGCATCGTGAACAACCTCCGCTCTGGTGCTACCGTTCCTCTTCTCGAACTGTTCGAGGAAAATGAAATAAGAAAAGAGATCGACAGATACCGTCGCCCTCCCATCGATTTCTCACTTCTTATTTACGACTATTAACGCGATAACGATTATCGTACGACTGGAAAAACTCGAAACGACGCGATCGCACGTTCTTTCAAAGATTACGATCGGGTCTCGCTCCCTCGTAGGGCGAGTCGTTCTCCCTGTTTTAAGTGATCTTCCGTGATGGGGAAGGAAAGACAAATCGAAAAGAATAGGAACGTCGTAAGAACTTCGTTTAATCGACTCCGTACGGGAAGACGATTTTAGTAAACCGGGTTTGTTTAAAAAACTGATGAAATCGTACGATGTGGAGGACACGGTGTGTCTTGGCTCTCGGAGGGAACGCGAAAGGGGACAGAAGTAAAAAGGAAAATCGTACCATAGCCTTATCGATAATGATGGCAGTTTCGATGTATTTGGTTGATTCACGGACGTCTCTCTTGTATCGATCGGAAGTGGTCTCCGATAGCCCCAGAACATGCTTCTGCCGGCGGTTCTTTAGACGCCACTCAAGATTCCCCGAGTTAGCGCAGCCTTTGTTAGCCTTTGTTCGAGCTTCAAATATAACGTGAGGATGTTTCTGCTAAAAGAGAGGTCTGCATATAGTTAACATTCTCCGAGCAGGCTGCCCGCCTTTTAACCACCCGTTCCGTTCTATTCGATTTAGCCGGCTGCCTTTTTGTTCTCCTCGCACTCCCACAAGTATGACCTACTATCACTTTTCCCTCGGTTAATTGGTATTCCACCCGTGTTTACGAATCGCGCCTCCCCGCACACCCCATGTGCACCACGATTTTTTTCTAAGATCGAACGTGATCTTCCGATCGCGACGGCGTTAGTTGGAAAATCAGTCAGATCTTTTTTTTTTATCACCGCTCGTAAGACGGGGGTGAGCGAAAACAAGGAGCCGGTGAATTCGGCGCGCTGTCAGCCGATCACTCGTTTACGAGCCCGGGCCCGGGGTTGATAGGGGCTTAACTCGATCCTCTCGCTTCGTCTGCGCGCGCTAACGAAACCGGACCGAGTGCCCCGACGTGTTTGCCATCCCTGAAACACCCGCTTCACGAGATCCAGTCAAACATTGCCCCCACGTACCATCACGGATATTCCCACCCCGTGTTCTCCCAGCCGTACAGCGACAAATTATGTTTTCCGGGATGAGAAAACCTGCCGGCTTACGTCTTATCAATCGCTTCTATGGCTAACGTTTCGTTCGGTAAACGGGTTGTTTGATTTTCATGTAGAGAGAAAACAAAAACTGACCGACAGATCGCCGCCGTAAAATGGATGAATGACGAACGTCTCGTTGCCTAAATGAATGACACCGCTGAGACCGTTACACGTGTGAAAAGCAGCGCTAGCTCCTGGATAATCTTTCACCGTACCGTGATAGTAGCAGTGTTCTATGTCCTGCGAACAGAGAACATACGCCTTATATCTTTGCTGACCTACGGATTTTATGCATTCTTTTGCATACAAAAGTCCGCAGTTTTTTTTTATCGTGGTGTGTCGTTGTTTAAAACGCGCTTCGAACAATTTTAGTTGGAAATCGAGCAGGACTTTATTACCTGCTTAAAATGTTGCTCCGCGCCTTTGGCTAAAAAGTCTTTTTGCATGAGATTCGGAGCTAAAAGTTGCCTGAAACAGACAGAATCGATGCTGTTTCGTGGTCGAACGAAAATACTTAGAGAACCGGTTAAGCTTTCGGACACTTACGTATTTAATTCTAAATCTAGGCGAAATTTATGATTAAAGGCCTTGATCAAAAGGGACGTCCGATGAAAATGTCTCCCCGTCTGAAAATCGAAACGGAAAACTCGTCTCGTTAATCGCGCTAAACAAAACCGACGACTCGGTAGCTTACTCTCATTCTGCCTCTGCCGTTCTGATATCCACCCTCTCCGTATCCTCTTTGAGGAAACTAAAACGTCACAAAGTTATTTCATTAGAAAGCCCGATATCTTTTAAAGTACACCCCGTTCGAGCCTTGGAACACTCTACGCGCACGTTCGAGTATGACTCGACCACTGAAACATTTTAATTAAAATTGTTTCTGTTTTTTTTCGCCGTTAATCAGAATTTTATTAGGACTCTTATCGGTTCGATCGTGTCGCTAGAATTCGTCAGTGTTCGGAAGTTGTGAACGGGGGTGTCCGTCGCGGGGTGAAAGGGTCAATTACCTTGGACACGCTCACTTCTCTCGTGGATATCCCCAGTTTCTCGTGATGCCGTAATTGTACCGGATAGATGATCTGATAGAAATTAGTCCCGATATTTTTTACTAGCTCTTCGTTCTGTCGATACTCTCGTAGTAGACGTTCGACTTCACCTGCAATTAATTTCACCCGTTCGCAGTTATAATTGGGCAGGACGACGACGACGACGACGACGACGTTGGCAGGAGTCTCTTTTCGAAACAGTCACCGGAGATAATCGTTGAAGGGGCTCCTCGAACGTAGGCAGGTATCTGGTTTACCCTCTCATCGAGTGTCCGGGGCTTTTGCCCGATTTAACCCTACCCATTCGATGATTAAGTGTACGGATAATTACGTTGCCGCGTTTTCGAGACGTCGTTAATGAATTATCGCGATTACCGACTAATTAACGTGGCACTCCGATCGACCGCCTCGCCGTCTCGGCTCCGTACCTTATTTTCGGTTCAATTATATTTCGCGGTTGTCTCGCCGCGTTCTCTTTCCATTATCCCGGCCGAGATTGCCACTCGGCTGAAATTTCGTTCTCACTTTCGAAAAAAAAAAAGGGTTTAACGCGCGCCTATCTGTAACACCTGTTGAGGTACCGTTTAGCCAAGACGCCTGCGATGCGTCAACGATTGCGGTTATGCTGATCTCTCGGTATCCAGCTAAAATTCAATTAAACCGATCGAATGAATATGCATGCGTCGATTCCCGACTAGGCCCCAGTTTCCGGTGTCCATTTAGATAATAAAATCCAGATTAAAAGATGCATCGTACTTCTCCTCGTTTACGCCAGAAACGAATCGGTAAACAATTTTACTGACTCGCCGTAATGGGTTTTTCGAAAAAATTCGGTAGGCGAGGCACGGCCGCGTTTCCGTTGCCAAAGAGTTTTTTCTCTGACGAGCCAGGAGGCGGTGGATTCGTAAATTGAATTTCCAGAGGCCCGAGATTACCGACCGATTAAGTTGGCTCCGTCCACGTTGGGTTTGTCACGTTGACGGGTTCGTTTATTGTGTCGCTGAACGTGGAAACGTCGCCGTCGCCGTCGTCGACGGGCCACGGAATCGTGATTAATTCAAACGACGCGACAGGCTATTACGCGGCGACGGAATTCGCGCGGATTTACTTTTCGAACATCTGCCACGCCTATACCTCGGTACACGTGTAATTAAATACCGGTATGAATATTAATTTCCCGGAATTTCCGACGCTTTGCAATTCAGATACACTTTTTACAGACCGAACGAGAAATCCTTTACCCGTTCGTTCCCCGACTCTTGCCGAGGTATTTGCAAATCGTCACCCTCGTTTCACATGGAACAATCGTCGATCGATTCCGACGAAAGTTTTGTTATATAAAATACGACGGAAGACACGGGAACTTTCAGCGTCCAGAATACCATTGCATCTGCATTTAATGAATACACAAAACTGATAATGTATACAGAGCAGTAATCATTGTTCCGATCTATTGATTTTGAAAACATTTCTATCCGTCGTCCCGCGTTACTCGATTAAAATCATTTTAACAGAGGTGGAGCAGCAGCGTAACAATTGATCGATGCAGGTAGCAAACAGACTCGGATTGGTTCGCGCGTACCCGTGGAATCGATGGAAATCGCTTATTCATAGCGTGCGATCGAAATCACAGGAACGAGTTCGCTCATCGCTGATTTAGGGGATTTCGGGCCGCGACGCATTGTCCCCTCGTCTAAAATTGAACCCAATTTAAGTTTCGCGTTTCCACCCAATCACCGCTGTTGACTTAACAATAAACCATTCGCGCCGAGAACTAGATGTAACCGCAGATCGAGCTCCCTGCAACTGCTGCAATGCGGCTCCTGTCCCGCTTCCCTTTGCCTGTCTTCCCGTCCAAGAGACACCCAGCCCTTCAATCATCCTGCAAGATTTATGCATCGAGCGCGTCTCAACATTTTTCGAGTATCAATCAACCGGGCCATGTTTCAGAAGCAGCGATTCATTTAAAACTGTTACGCAGAACCGATCGGATAGACGAGACTTCAGTTTTCTTCTACTTTTCATATGAAACAATTTTTCATTTCTTCTCCATTCTGTAATTTTGAATCCCGTAAAGACAGGGGATGAAATTATTTAAAGGAACTGCAGAACACGTCCAGTAGTTTACTCTGGGGAGTTCAGGCATGGGAAAGAATCGTTTCCTGATTAGAAGGACTTTGTTCCAAGTTAGCGACGCGTTCTCTTTCGCTCTCGTCGAGCCTGATAACATTGATTCCGTGCAAGTACGATTAGTATCTCTCCTTGTTCGCGTCGCGTTGAGTTTTCTCAAAGAGACTTTGACTGAAGCTTCCTCAGGCATTGTGCTCCCACACCGAGCGAGTGTTCGTTCCAAATTCGAGTAATGGACTTATTCCATAATAAACCGACTCCAATTCTTAATTGGAAGAGTGAAATCAGAGGATGATTTATTATGCAACAGCATTTTGGACGTTGAATCTCCAGCTTACTTTATTATATTCGATTAAAAAGTTTGTCGAGTAAAAGACAAGTGTAAGAATATTCTTCTGGTCTACACAACGAATTAGGATAGGAAATTGTATAAATGAGAGACTTACCAACAGGAGTCTCTTCGTTCCAAAAGGAATCATCTAAAGTGTAGTCGGCTTCTGCAACAGAAAAACATAAAACGCAAGGCTTAGTCTACAGCGACGAAGAACGAAATCGGTCGAGGAGCTCGTCGAAAATTCCTAAGCAGGAATTCCTGCGAGAGGAGCTGTTCCTCCTCCTTTGGAATTTTCGGTTGCCTGGGGATTTTCTACGGCGCGGAAACTTTTCCTGAAAGTTTCGAACACGACCCGGAAAGATATGTGATAGAAGAGCCATGAGACGCGCCCGGGAACTCTTAATATCATTAGACCGCGGATTTTTATGCAAAACGAAACGATCACGATATGTGCGACACGTAGAAATACGCATTCAGGTTTTCATGCTTCAGCATTCGATTTTCTCGTAAATGCATCGTACCTGCGTTTTCATTAATTGTTGCTCACTGTTGTTTCGCCGATCATGCGTTTCGCGGACGAGTTCATGCAAGGTCGACCATGCTCGAATGCAGTGAAAATGGAAAGGGTAGGATCGTTTTGAAAACAAAAAAAAAAAAAAACTACTCCGTAACAAGACGCCGAGCACGCGTTTTGGTATTTTCTCCTCGCGCGAAGCGTCACGTTTCGCTGCACCCCAATCAGCGAGCATCGCGCTCCGCCGATTTCCTCTGTGCCGTATGTACAATCGTGGCATTTAGCACATTGCCGCGTCTGCGAAACGTCGCCGTGAACGAGCCAACTCGATGACTGATCCCTTTTTCACCCGAAGCCCTCCGGTAATCGACGCCGTTTCCCCGGTTCGTTTCCCGATTTTCGCCCGGGCCGTCGCCGTTGAAAAATCCTCCGAGCGAACTTTCGTTAAAGCGAAACTTTTCCCATCTTGGTCATCACGGGTTTCATAAAATTCATAAAATGGACGCGGCCAGATAAAGAGACTCGGGTTTCCACTGGCCTAGTTCCTCCTCGGCTGGTATACGAAAAATAACCCCGAGGCGAAGAGGGTCTCGAATAGATGATAGTCAATGACGGGGCAGTTCTATAGGGGCTCCACAGCCCGTAGGGTTCACTTTCAGCTGGAGACGCTCCGCCGGGGGTAATCGACGCGCTCTTCTCGGAATTACTTCTGTTTTCCTACCAGCGATCTTCTTTAATAACTAATCGCCCAGTTATCGTTCGTTCAACCCAGCCACGAACCCACCTCCCTTCGCTACTCCACGCTTTCAAATATCAATACGCTGCTTCCCTGCACCTCAAACATTTACACAGACCTGTGTTCAAATATTTCTGATTACCACCAAAATTTTTATCAGTCACGTTCTTCTGTTACTTCGTCCCATTTGAAACATTTGGTCAGGGACCCGCTAAAGCTCTGGCTGATACGTTTCAGGTTCTACTACTGGGTGGACACGGCGGACTCGTTCCATCTCGAACAGCGTTGCAATTGTTCCGTCTTAAATCAGTTTCATTGTGCCCGGGCCGGGTCGCGGGCTTTTCTTAATGACGGCAAACTTTCTCGTTAAGCGAAACGCGCTTAAAGTGTATTACGTCGCCGGGACGTATAATGCTCGCAGGGTGAAATTAAACGGTTCCGAAACTCCTGTAATCTGCTGGGAAAACTGGCCGAGACCATCGGGGTTAACACATTCAAGATTGCGTCGTGCCGACACGATTGTTATTTAATAGGAACTGTAGCAGCTGCGTCGTTTCACCGAACGAAGATGTCGTCGGTGCATTTATAATGATCTCTACGCAATGCAAGATACGCATTCGACGTTTGAAGTAGGATGGAATGAGTGAAACGATAGAAATGATATCTGCAACTCTGAATTTTAAGGATCGTGGAACGAATGGGGAAGCAGTTGTAACGATGGAGAAACGCGACGATTCAAAGGTTCGCACGCGTTTCGGTGGTAAACGACACCGGGAGGCTTCCGGAAAAAAACGGGTGCGTGGCATCGGGCGATTAACTCCCGAGAAGGAATTGGCCCCGGCCGCGGAAAAAGCGGGCGTCGCAGCCGATGAACCCTGCTCGTCTCTCGTCGCCCGCGGCGTTTTAACGATTTCGCGCCCAGACTCCCTCTTGCTCTCAAATGCGAGAGCTACAACATACCCCGGGCACAGTATAAGAATGAACACTACGCTCGCTCACGGTGTCGGTTCCTATGATCTCATGACCAACAGATTGCACATGTTGTTGTTCGTATTAATTTTAAAAGTCAAAATATTGGCGATAAACTTTCGTATAAAAACTTCTTCGCTAGCGTCAATATTTAATAAACAAAATTGTTTATTGGAAAAAATTTTCCTTCGTCCTAGCGAAAACTGTTTCAAACAAGAGTTGTAACACCAGTTGCCAGATGCAAATCCTATGCAATTTCGTTTTAATTCCACTCGTTAAGGAATAATTGATTGATACAATATGAATCAATTTTTGTCGTGCAAACTGGGATTCGTTTCTAACTGTTACAATTTATTAATCCCGGACAGAAGTAATCCTAATACTTGCGCATGAATGCGAAGAGAGGTTGAGTGGTGCATCTAGGGGTGCAGATACTTTTCCTCGACCTCGATCAGCGAATCGTACTCGATAGGCTCCACTTTTGCAAACAAATTCCATCGGGAGGTCTATCAAAGATGTCGACTAATTACGAGAGACATTCGAGCACGCTAAAGGCCGTTGTCGTGCATATTATATACCTCTATGTACCAGGGGCCGGTGTGCCTTTGATCTCGGACAGTTCCCGTTTATGTATATTCTGTGAAAAAGTTTTTTGTCCATCGGGAGATCCGAATCGGAGAGGCTGTGTGCTCGCCGGCCGAAAAATTGAATTACTTCCGAAACGGGGCCAGACTCTGTCAAATTTTATTTCGCCGTTTCGCGCACAAGCACGAAAAACTCGATTACATCATCGGGGAAGCGTACGTCGCTCGATTCACCGGAGTCCCTTTGTTTTCCGCCCGCGGAATTTCGCTGCTAGTAATTAGAGATTCGTGCACCAAACTCTCTCTCTCTCTCTCTCTCTCTCTATCCTCGATACGTAAATAATGATCCGGTCGTGCGAAAAGGAACGGTACGCTCAAAGAATAAGATTCACTTTGATTTGCATTTCATATTTACTACGTTTCGCATAATAATTCGTGCGACGATCGACAGAATTTATCGCACATCGTGCGATGGAACTGCTATAATAATTGACACACCCTTACGTATACTTCAAATGATCATACAGATATACGACATGTATCGAAGGAATCGAATTCTTGAACCGTTTAAAGAAACCGCTTTGGGACGGCAAGTATTCACTTATTTGCATGTTTATTCGGCTGGCTTTGATGCGGCGTGTTCCTTTTCCCACGGAACCCGCTACGAATTTCCATACTTCGCGTCGTCTAGAGGTTTTCACCTTCGATCCGTACGTTTGAGTTACAAATTAAGTAGCGAGGGAGAGCCGTGACCCTTTCGAACCCGTAAACAAAACGATCGACGTTTTTTTGCAGGTTTTAACGAACGCACGATGATTGGGTCAGATATTTTTTGCCGCGGGGTCATCGCCGTGTTAAATCATCGATGCCATCGCCTTGCGAACCACTTTCGCGAGTCTCAACGTGCTTCCGATCGATTACAGCGTATTTTAATAACAAATTTCTAAAACCGTGGACAGACGATCCTTCCACTAAAAAGTTTATCTCGCTAGGTTCACCGAGATTTTTGTCATAAGCCGCTTATGCAAACGGCTCCACGGTTATTCGAGTAGCATCGAGGAAGCGGCGCATTCGGAAGGGTATGTAACGCGCTCGATATGGAAACTATCGAGGGTGGCTGCGGAATCGGTGCATTATCAAGCGGGGTAACTGGTGGGCAGTCTATAATTTATTTCCATTAGCCGAAAATAGCTCGGACGTGTAATTCGATTGCGCGAAATCGCGAGCCCGGGCACCAACCGCGCGCCTGTATTTTTAAAACGGGCTGCAATTTTCCGTTAAACGCGTAAATGGGGCGTGTGCCGATATTTTCCCCGCTCGACCCTTATTAAATTTTCATCCCCCGCGCCCGCGCTCCGACAAAATATCGGCTCGCTGTTCGATCTCGACGTACCGATTCGACGTATCGATCTCTCTACCTCGCGACGGCTGCGAACGCTGCCGTCCAGATAACGGCCGGTCATCAGCTTTGTCGTATGCGATATTTACAGTTCGGAATTTCGAATTTAATTTAGATTTAGAAGTTTCGCGAGTCCGTTCGATTCGCACCGGGATACCGATCCGACGTATCGATCACGGCCGGTGCACCGACGGTAGCCGGAAACCGAGAGTTCCATCCCGGTCCGCGCAGATGATCGGAGTCGCTCCCCCGCGACAAAGATAGATAAATAGATAAGTAGATGGACGGAGAAGGAGAGCCGGATAACTAGGCCGAGAGCGAATGAGAGAGACGGCGGACCTTTGGCGAGGAAAGAAAATGGGGGCGAGAAGGGGAGAGAGCGTATAGACACAAGAGGGTAGAAGTTGAAGAGGGGCTGGGGCGAGGGGGAGAGAGGGGGCGGGATCCCGGAGCGTTCGGTACCATTGCATATCCCGCACATCTCGCAGGTGCAGGGCGTGGTGCCTTGTCGGCAATATCGATTACAAACCCGGGCGGTTGCGCATTCACGTCGACACGTGGACGTGGACCGGCAGCCAGACTAAATTTGTGTTGCCCTATATTTTAGGTTCCTGCACTCATCTGCCTCTCAAAGATTGATTGCTTTTCCCTCCAGCACCCCGGTGGTCCGCTCGCCGCGGTCTCCTCCTCCTCCTCCTTGCAAACCGACCACGGATTTACCTCCTCCTCCCCCTCCCGACGAGTCGCCCTTAACCCAAAGATCATCGCCGGCCACTTCTCTTAACGACGGGCCTCGTACGATCGTACGTAGATAGGAGCATTCTCATTTTGCAAAAAGTTCAACGCTGACGAATCGCACGGGGGGAGGGGAAGGTGTCCAAAGCTGCGGGACGTACAAAACTCTCCTCCCGTTTTCACTTTTTAAGCTCCTGCCCGATATCGGATATTGTTCGACGTCGAG